GACCTTTTCACATTTTGTACAAGATGTTTTGCATGAGACTTTAACACTGTCCCTGGAGGAACTAATAGTTGAAAATTTACTCCTAAAACAGTATTTATATGGGAGCTGGTTTGTAGCCCAGTAGGTTATAATGCTGTGATTCTGGAAGGTCCCCAGTTCAAATCCCAGCCTCACCAGATGGATTTCATTGTTGGGCCTTTGAGCAAGACCCTTAACCCCCCCCCCAACTACCCCAGAAATTGTCTGACCCAGCTTTCTCAAATAAAAACATATATATATTGCTATGGACAAAAAGTAAATATTTATAAGTGTAGCAGGAAGCTTTTATGACAACTTCTATAAGTACTGTAGTTTCCTATAGATAATATAGAATTTTCAAGCATTAACTGGACAAGCCAAGCTTTCTCTATTTCACCCTGACCATCCTCCATTTTCCCCTCCAACTTCATGAGACAATATTTGACGATTTCATATACCCTGCCCCTTTTGCAGTTGGAGATATTTCCGCCTATCACAGACTTAACAGAACAATAAAACGGTATTTTATTTGTCCATTTATAAAACAGAAAGTAATTCAGCCATGATGAAGCCTCAAAAACCAAAGTGGGAATGCTGGAGAAGAAGAATCCATCCGATTTCCAAAACCCCTTATCTAGCACGGGGTGGTGGCCCAGAGGCATAACCCAGGAAGCTCAGGACATGAGGAAGGATTGATCCTGCAGGGACGACAGTCCATCATGGAGTAATTTCATTTTTAATATGAGCTGTATGCTTCTTTGGTCTGTGTGAACCCTAACCCTCACCCTAACCCTAACCCTAACCCTCACCCTAACCCTAACCCTCACCCTAACCATAACCCTAACCTTGATACCGCATTCTTGTAGGCCTACGCTTGTGGAGGTGTGACAGAGCCTCGGTCCTCTGTGCATATTACACAACTGTATCTAACAGAATAAGTCCTTTCCAGGGCAGACAGTGTCATGAAAACCAATTTCTCCAGTAATTTATATCATCCCCACATTCCAGAGAGACAACCTCAAGGGAACAGCTGATACATACAGTCAGAGATCCTGTTGTGTAATCAAGGTCAGCAGGTCAGATTTTACATGAAAATCTGACTGATATATTTCAGAAGAACTACTTTAACTTGCATTACTTTTCCTCTCTTTATTTTTATAAGTTTATTAAGTGAAGGCGTGTAATAATTTTGGATACTGACCCCCATAAGACGTTCTGATTCACTTGAGATACAACTCTGTGAGAGGACCTTTAGACGTGAAAGACATTCAATCATCCATTTTTCATACCCACTTGAAAAACGAAGAACCTAAATCATTCATTCGGCACTTCTGAACCACATTCCATAGCCTACAAGCTCATTCATAATCAAGTGGATCAACGTAGGTTAAACTAAGTCATGGTTATGAGCTGCACCCAAGACCACCTGCCGGAGATTACCACACCTGGAGATAGTGACAAAGTGAAGAACTTACACTTTTCCACAGCATATGCCCTAGGGCTGGGCGATTAATTGAATTGCAATTATAAAACAATTATAAAAATGAATTAATCAAGCTAAATCGATTGTCGTGCTGCATTGCATTTTGCAATTATGCTCCCATTTTGTCATGTGTTAAAAATCCAGCTACAACTTTTTATTTGTTTCTCAGTTAAATTATATTTCCAGTTCAAGGAAATCCACTGTCAAAAAAAAGTTCAATAAATGCATGATATTTCCAAAGTCAATGAATAATTGTGTTAAATAATCGTGATATCAATACCGACCAAAATAATTGTAATTATGATTTTTGGCATAATTGAGCAGCTCTGATATGGCCAAACACCAGAGCTAAAAGCTTCTCCAAACAGACAACATTTGCAATGAGAAACAAACCCATTTTTCCATGTTTCTGACTGGATGTGACTTTTGCCTGTCGTGCCCCCAAACATTCTTGTTATAATTTATAAATAGTTTTCACATTTTAAATACCTTGTTGTTGTTCGAGGATGTGAACCTTAACAAAGAAAGGCTCGTTCTATACAGTAATATTCATGGAAAAAAGCAAATCATTTGCAGTGATTATGACCCAGGAGCCCTTTTTTAATGATCCAAAGGGGGGAATGAGACATTTCTTTCTTTTGCCTTTAAAAAAATCTTGCTCTTTTCACGTCTGACCTCCCCTGAAATATTTTCAGAGTAGAAACCTCTTTATCTTTATCTTGGGCTAAACCATCATCAGATGTTGGGTAGCCCTATCTCACACTGTGGTCCCTGTTTAGTGACCATCCAGCCATGAAGTAAATCACCTTACAGCCGCAATATCTACCTCCTGGTGCTTTGATGACGTTCCAGCACATGGACTGCCCACCCATACCATTCAACTGCTCGCATTTCTCAGCTATTATTACATAATGTAAGCAGTGTGAATTAAACAGTTAGACCAGAAGACTGTTCTACACTGTCAGAAAAACTCACCAATCTGTACTTATGAGGTTACAATTACTTGTCACTAGTGCTGTACCCACACGGGTCTGCCAGTTGTACCCTAGCTTTCAAGTTACAGAAATGGATCCCGGGGAACATCTTTGTACCATAGGGGATACATTAATATTGTTTGAATATTGCTGTACTATTTTTTTCTGGCTGTGTTTATGTTTAAAAAACACTGAATTCTAATCATTGGCTTCCTTTAATAGGAGTCTACGACTTTAAACAAATGAGTTAATTGGGGTTTTATGTTGAAGTACGCAGAGGTCAAATGCCCTCCAGACACCTTCCATTCATGTTTTTGTTTTCAGAACTGTAATTATTTAAAAGAATTAAGAAGAAATTCAGAAGGTCCCTCCCCAAGTCAGTGGGCCCTGTACTAAAGAACAACTCCAGATGTAAATGTGCCCAATCTAGACCCAAGAAAGCCTAGCAGAGACCAAAACAATACAAAGCCCCCCCCCCAAAAAAAACCCTCTTCTCTAAAACAACAAAAAAAAATCAATGTAATGAACTGCACATGTTCAGGTGAAGAGTGGTGGGGGTGAGCAGAGTTGGCTCAAATCTTTCTGGCCTTGGATTAAACAAAAACAATGCCCCCCCCCCCACAATTATATAACATCTGCTCATAATCCCCCTTCTCCGAGGTATGCTGTCAAAAGCCTGGCTTCATGTTGTACAGATTAACACCCCGGTCCCTGTGAAGGCACGACTTACTCCAAATATTACGTCCCACCTACTTTTCATGTTGTAATTCGTACTAAATTAGTCAAGCCAAGTGACCGTCATTCTTTTGATATGCAACATTGTAAAAAACTGATATTAATCTTCGTGTTGTTCTGAAATTGACACCATATTTTAAGGTATACGTTCAATTTTGTATATTTTAATTGGACATCCAAATGAAGTCGGCAGCTGAGCAAAGGTTGTATGTCGTGCGAAACACGGCAAAACTTCAGCACAAAGATCAACATTGAAATGTGCTTCACAGCGCCGACGTACGAGCCAAGAACGCGTTTTTTAATACTACGCAATATAACACGCCAGCTTCGATTTTTTAAAAAACAAAACACGGTTTAAAAAAAAAAAGTTACTCGTTTTACAAGTTTGCTTTGAAGTCGGGTGCCATTAGTCATCAGCATCTTCCACAGAACCAAGCCGATTCCAGCACGTTCTTCAGGGAATGCATGCGAACATCTCACATATAAAATATTACTCAAATCATTTTACAGACAACAAAAGCGTGATTAGTTTGTGGTATTTACGCTTACATAAACCATATCACAAAAAACAACCTGACTACAAATTATTTATATTAATTTCTCCTAAGTTTAACTTAAAAGAAGTCAAATTGGTTGCAGATGTATAGTCTGCAAAAGGTAACTGGCCCCCTCATTACATAAGTAATGGCTTGCGAAGCACTGCTCTAACTTTCAACTAAAAAGGCAACGCTGGAGATTTAAACGCGTCTTAAGAACGGAAACCAAACCCACTGAGGCAAAATATACCGCACTGGACGGAGGTATTAAAGGAACAGTTATATCTCACCTCTCTCATCGCTTAGGTGTACGTTTACATAAATTTAATTAAATTGGTTGCTATAACTCATCCACCTAGTCTTGTAGTTCAATAGTAACAGAGAATCGAAAACCGCGAATATTTGGCCATATTTAAAGATTTTTGTGTAACAAGTGTGGATTACAGCCATTCCCCACAGGCGCGCTGAAAACAGCACTAAACTTGAATCACTAAATATGTATTCAAAGTTAAATGTCATTCGCAAAGCGGAGACAATAAAACTGACCGATGAGCTTGACGAATTTTAAAATTGCATTTGCAGTTGGTGGCATCGCTTAAAACAGCGGGACTTACGTTTTTATTTATCAAAATAAAATCAATAAATAACGGGTTGACAAACGTGTTACCAATGAAGCAGTAATAAGATGCTGTAGATGCGGTATTCTGGAGGATCGCCTAAACACGCAGTACCGGACTCATACAACAAAGCGCAACACCGTACAAAAAAGTACTTTAAAAAGTTATACAAGTGCCAAAAGTGCTCCGGGCGAGACTGAACATCACACGTGTGAAAGCGTGCAGTACAGTACAGAGGATCAGCTACTAAATTCTAAGGAATAGTGGATAACGAGACGGTGTGACGGAGAATTTAGGGTTTAGAAAGACGCACACATACCACAGTAACAATCAAGGCTTTACAACACTGTGGAAGGGAAACATTATTTCTCATGCAAAGGTCAGTAAGACATATAGCCTGTTATTACTAGATGACAAAAATTATACAGAAATAAAGCATGCGGACTCATAACTATATATGTCAGCTCGCTATAAATCGCTCAAGTCGCATAAATACTGTACTCTGGTTTAAATCGGTAAAAAATGAGAGATAGTGCTACCTTTACAGCTTAGCCTATAAAAGTCAGCACGGGGCAAAACGTGACAGATTAAACACGCTGGCGCTAAACCGCACAAATTAAAGCAAAGTACTCCTTACCCTGCGCATACACAAAGTCGCAGACGATGAAGGCGAAGGAGAAAAGGATAATCTCAAAATACACAAACATCTTACTGAAGTCCTAAGTGCATTGTGAAAGGAAACGTGAGCAAAAGTGCGCCGCGCCGACAAGCTCCATGAGAACATCGCACTCCGGCACCCCAGCGTCCGCAGTACTGGAAGCTCCGCTCCGGCCGGGCAGCATAAATGGACCCGGCCCGCGGTCACGGTCCCGACTGAGCATGTGCAGGAGGCGGGGGGGGACTCCCCTGGCAGAACCACACGCCTCGGTCAACCGAGGGCTGGGCCGCGGCTGACATGAAAGGAAGCGGAGCAGTTAATGTGATTCAGGCAGGTGAAAATCGGTTTAAAAGCCTGCGGGTTTTCTCAGTCGCTTTGTGACAAAGAAATGGTAATTGTTAAAGCTTTTGACTCTAGGATTATTTTGAAATTATTTAAATTTCCAAGGATGTTCCCATGAATACATGAAATTATACGTTTAATTTCTACTCACGGAGTTGACTTCTTTCAGAGAATCTCGTTTAAAATATCTGAGGTATCAGGCCCATAAGCGTGCAGATGGTCATTGATGAAGCCGAGATGTTTTTGACATGCCTTCGACAGAAGAAAAATAAATAATATAAATATGTTTAATTCTCATATTAAAACCACCTCTAAGTATGTAGTTACTCTAATTTCATATGAAGAATTTAACACGAGAATACCAAAAAATGTATTCGATTATGTGTATATAGTTTGTTCTAAAGCCTTGAATGTTTCGGTGTACAAAACTCTGCTGCTGTTATAAGTACCTTGCACATCTGGTAATACTTGGTAAAATAAAGGTTAATGTACTCTATGTATACACAAAAAAGACAAAATGCAGTTTTAGGATGTTAAGATAAAACTGTAATAACAGTAAAATTAATGTACCATTGAAAATGTTATGGAACACAAAATTGCTTACAACCATAAAGCCAGATACAGTGTATGGATGTAACATAATTTAACACTTTACTTTTGGGAAAAGCAACATAGTTCGTCCAGTTTGTTTTGTAAGTTGGACATTGAATTTATTTGAGGGACATATTTATATCTATGGTATAACAGTAGCTTTCAATCTGGAGCTGCTGAATCCTGCCACAGGTCTCCATAACCTCGCTGCCATGCTGTCGATTTGCTATGGTGTGGGCCAGAGAAAACAAGCGGACCCTTGTGTTACCATCCGCCTGGCATGTCCCGCGCTCAGAAAAACGCATCCTGTGGCGTTCTAAGTGCCGGTGGGAGAGATCCAGGTGCCCTTTGACCTTTGCACTGGGGGGAGGTCACATGACTGACCCCAGGCACCCTGCAGATGTGTGGCCTTTCCATAGTGTGGCATCTGGTGGTAAGTCACAACTGCAAAAACAGATGAGGGGGGCCACCAGCAGGCCCCCGGCGATGGGACACGGCCCCAGGGACAGCAGCTCTGAATGCTGTCACAGAACAATTACCTTGCAGGCGATTCACACGTCTTCGTCTGAGGAACGATTCGGTGCCAGAGAGAGACGGGGAACTTGAAGCAATATAATCCCCAGGAACATGAAGGCGCAAGCGTTAGGTCAGTGTGCCCTGTGCCTCTGATGGTACATAGTATTTCTGCCCTGTTATAAGACACCACTAGAAGTGATATAAACACGGCAACCAAAATCTGCAGATTCAAAGCAAAATAATCTAGGTCTGTTCCAGGGGCAGTTCTAGACCCTCTTTAGAGGGGCTTCAGCCGTCCTATTTACTTGACTCAGCCCCCCTGACAAATTATTTTTTTAAAACAATTTAGCAATTTGTCCTGTATTTTCACACACATTCTGTAGCCCCTCCCCCCTTGGCAATTTTTTATCATTCATGGGAGTTGTACTTACACTAAAATGAACAATGATCGGTTCAAAGAGCTAGCCAATCAGATTGCAGAGGAGGTGGGACCAAGCAACTAGAAGAGGTGGGACCAGCCAATTAGATGTCTCCTGTACAATTTGATTGGTCATCTCTCTGAACCAATCATCGTTCCTTCTGCCCTCAGAACATTTTTGCTTAATTTAATTTAGCTACACCAATCTTTGTACTTCATTTTATTGTTCTGTGTGTTGTGCAGTCGTAATGTAAGCAATTTCCTTTGGGATTAATAAAGTTTTCTGATTTTGATTCTGAGCAATTTTATCATGGGTGGTGTTCTGTGCTTCTTTTTAAAGAGTGGTTCCCACACTGGAGGACGTGCCCCCCTAAGAGTCAAATCCTAGAATTGCCTCTAGCCCATTGGATGTCCATCACACCACCATGTTTTTGCAACCTGCTGCTGTACTTTCTTACTCATACCGCAAGCACATTCTGAAAGAGGCAGGACAATATCGAGGAACATGGGAATACATCCACACTTGCATTATAGATGCCCTAAAAGAATCCACCATAATCCCAGGGCGCTCTATCCTCCGGGGCTCGTTATGGAATATTTCAACGCTTGTCAGAAGTGTGGGAACAGGTCGTACGTAACCTGTATTGTTTCTGGCAGAAGGATTTACTGAACTGGGCAGACAGCTGGGTGTGAATGAAACCCAATCACACTGTCAAAACATGCAGTCTTTGATATCTGTATATTATATTACTTGTAAAAATCAATGGGGACAAAAAATACAGTAATTGCTATGTTACTAAGGGCAAAAATTAAGATAAAATGTAATTTCTGTTACTTAAGCAGATTATCTAAACACAAAGGTATATACAAAACAACACTTTATATTTTAGAAAGCAAACAGGCTATAGAGACGTACTACAATAGTCGTGTTTGTGTCCCCGCATGTGCTTTAAAGTAAACCCACCAAGAATACAAGTGGGCTTTCACTTTGAAGGAGATCTGTTTCAATGAAGTAGGCTTCTTTCATCAATAGAATGTGACTCTTGCTGCCGCTCTGTCTAAGCTTGGAAACTAGCAGGCCTGAAATTTAAGTGCAGCTCTGTCTAATTCCAGGTTCTGCTTTGTTAAGTCCACTGTTTTTTTTTTCTTCTCTATCAGAGGCTTCAGAGAAAATGGTCCCTGATAACGGTCCCCCCCCCCCCCCCAACAAGATGATTCTGGAACTTTTCAAGGAGAAGGGAAGGGCGATTTGATGTTCAGTGTAACTGCGACACGCAAGCAATGGCACTCATAACACGGCTATAAATCTCTTAACACTTTCACGGGCTGAAAGCGCGTCTCTGGAATTGTGCTCTGCCAAACTCAAATCAAGAGTCCAACAATCCGTTAATGGGGGTGACTTGTTTTTCTATTCTGGCGTGATAAATTCTTGAGGATATTAAAATTGTCATCAGTGTGCGCTGCAAAGTTATACCGCATATTGTATTAATATGGCCTGATTAATAATGCATATTTTGGAGGCTGGGTGGAATAATTAACATAGGTCTGCCCCTCCGTACGCTGGGCGCCTGTACCCTATTAGGAGAAAAGGATTACCGCCATCTGCTGGCCAGAACTGGTAATATAGGTGGCGGTAATCGTAACGTAAGCGAATTTATTTGCAGTCAAAACGGATCTGCTTCTATTAATCAAAAAATCCGGCACCTCTGCCCTGACAAGCAGAATGTTTTCCTACTACTGGTCGTTTCAAAAGGTTGCGTTTCAGAAGCTACCCCATTCTCGAGTTGCCGCCACGGTTCCCAAGCTGGCAGTTATGGGATTCTTTTCGTAGAAACACCCTTCCTGTGTGCATGCCAGTCGGTGTGTTCAGAGGCGGAGGACCCCGGCGAGCGGGAAAACCCGTGCGACGGGAGGGGAGGTTGCGAACAGGGGATTCACGTGGTTATGGCTGAAAGCTGGACGAATAGGACAGTAAGCCTCAGAGTTACAAGAAATCAAGCAACCACATTTTATTCTTGTGTGTCCGTGTCCAGATTTAGATATTTCAAGAATGGATGGTGCGTCTGTCCGGTTTGGAAGTACTGTACAGAAATCAACCCGCGGCACTGCTAAATGTTTAGGGGTAACTGGCGACCTGCACAGAAGAGTCAATTATTCAGTGTCAATCACTTACCCTTCTTTTTTAACCTCCTCTCCCCGGTCTGCCTGCCAGTTCGTCTTCTCCTTCCCGATGCTTTTGTTAATTGGGCCTAAGTATTGAGTTTGCGGTTTTTGTTCCGCTGGTCCTACACAAAGCAACGGAAAGACATGGTCCTGCACACCTCCCAGTGTTTTTCAAACGTTGACTCAGTGACTATCAGTGTGTGGTTTAAACATGCTGACCACAATAACAGAAAAAGGAGTCAGTTTGTGTTGCTGGTGTAATGACTGCGCTGAATAAATAAAATCACTTAGTAATATAGACAGGGTTGCCAACTAAGGTCAGCCGGCTATCGTGAGATTTTCAATTCGAGAATATCAGCACACGCATTTAACTGTAACAGTTTTATTACTTTTTAAATAGTCTACAGGGTTTGCAAACTTTCACAACGCTTTTGATGTAGCAAATTTTAGGTTTACAATGGAATAATATAGATTTGCTGTAAGATTTCTTGCGTTATAGTCTGAAAGCGTGAGTGCCACGCCAGATGCGTGAGTCGGCAGCCAGATATAGGGCAGCAATCTCACTCAGCCGCATCTTAAATGATTGGCGGGGGCCTCTGTCATTACCAGCTCTCCGAGTCAGCACATCGCTCTACTTCATCCCAGCTAACCTGGAGCATTTGTTACGATCTTATTTAAAGTGAACCGGATTTGCTGAGCTGCAGGCAGACACATCAAAGGCGCCTCTTATCTTTCCAGCTGGGAGTTAAAATGTCATCGCATGAAACTGCGGCCAGGAGAAACAACGCGGGATGAAGAAACGAAGCAAATCTGAGATCCGCTACGCCACTCTTTTCGCGGACATTGGCCTCTAATTATTCTTCCCCAACGTTTTTTTTCTTCTTCTTAAGAAAACATAATTTCTATTATTGTAGCTTTCGGGAAGGCTGGGCTCTATAGAGGCAGCGCGCTTCTCCAGCTGCGCTCCATTGTTTTCATGCTGTCCCCATGGCCAGTGGCGGAGCTAGACTTTTATTTAAGGGGGGCCGAGGGGGCCATATAAATATGATAAATGAAGGAAAAAATATTTTTTTTATTTATTTAAATAGATTAATTAATCTATGTAGCTAATTAAACCCTCACATTGCAGTATAGTGAAGTATGACATGCATAGCCTGCTTACATGCA